GTTTCGCACCCCCCGTGCATGAATTCACAAAAGCTGCTTTGGCCTTGATTAATCTTCTGGCGCAGTTTCCGAAATCCCACAAGCAGCGGTCGAAAAAGTCACCCCCACGAGGGGTGGCAACCGCATGAGTCGCGGTCATGGCTCTCTCTCTCTCTCTGCATCAACAAACTCTCTAACCTCCAACCTCCCCTCTTTTCAGCCTCCAGCCTGGGTGGCGTAATTAGTCAGAGAGGGGGGGGGCAAGGGATGAAGCGCCCGAGTAAACGCTGCTTCCAGTGCGAGGACTGGTGAGACAATCTGCCGGAGTAATCTTCACGCTAATTACCAACGCCGGTGATGAAATCACAGGCCCTAACGACTGCGGTGCGGAAGATCAAGCCAGCCCCGAGCCAAGTGCGAACATTTGTAGCAAATGTTGGAGCTGCAAATCCCAAGTACGTGTACGATTGGCCGTATGCCAACGTCGTTCTGTGAATATTACAAGGTCTTTGTGTCAGCTATTGCTGTATCTGACTGGGGCAGAACCAAACGCGTTGGATGAATGAAATTCTCCTTCGCCTTGAAAAGGAGCTTCTTTAAGCAGCTGCTGAAAGTATTAGTGAAGTGGATGCCTACCTACATCTTTCTTGAATTTAGTGCTTCTGTTTAGAAGCAAGTGATTGTGTGTGGGGTTTACGAGGGAATCTCGCTCGGAGACCACCACATTTGTAATGCTTATAGAAGCTATTAACTTCCAGTTAGCTCATTAGCACCACTTTAAACAGTTAAATATAAGGCTAGATCGCAGTTGGTAGCCCGGACCCGCATTACAGGTGGCTTGGGGGTTTGTTTACTGGGGTTATTTTGTGGGCCTCCATAGTCACATCGGACACATTTGGCTTCCGTTTTACGTTTGAGGTTAGGATTAGGGTACCGGTTAATGGTTTCCGATTTTCCGGTTAGGGTTATGCCTTTAGGCTTCGGTTTTCGGGTTATGGTTAGGGTTTGAGCGTACGAATAGGTTCCAGTATTACGGTTAGGCTTCTCAGTTACGGCTATGTCTAAGGGCCTCGGTTGCGTTTACGATTTCGGCTAGGGTTAGGGTTGCCGTTAGGGTTAACGGTTAACGGTGACGGTTGGGGTTAGGGTTAAGGTTGGGATTAGGGTTAACGTCGCCGTCCGCTTCCCATTCCGGGTTACCAACTGCGATCTAGCCAAATAAAATTCCACAATAAAGTATGTCCTGTTTAATGTGTACATACGTAAATTATGCTTGTGTATGAGGGGACCAGACGCTATTCAGCTTTTGAGTCTTCAAGAGCCAACATACAAACTCCCGCTAAAGGCATGTGTGCTGAGGAATTACGAACAACCTAGGCCGTTTAATTCTGTCAGAAGAGCTTTTAAGAAGTCCTTCTGGGAAGACCGTTAATGAATTCCTCTTAACAGCTGAGAAACGCTTTGTTTCCTTCTTTAATTTACTGGTTTGGAAGTCGACGTAAAACTAGGCGACTAAACTCATTCATGAAAACAGTAATGAGCATGTGCGTGCCCCTAAAACTTTCATAAATGAACGACACTTGAATAGCATATAAACCACTAAATGGCTGGTGTCTGGCTTATTCTAATGGCTCCTTCCATTCCCAAAAAACCCAATAATTTGATATCCTAATTCTTTTCGTCCGATTGCCTCTTAATCAATGTGCTTGAAGGTTACGGCATTAGCTCTTAACCCAACCAAACCCACCTTCTACCCAATAAACTTCCATCCTGGGAAAGTCACTTATACTGCAGAGTGATTTAATGTGGTGAAGTGCAGGAATATGACCCTCGTATTACAGGTTGTTGCTAGCTAAATTCTATGGAGTTAAGGGTTATGGTTGGGAAGATAGATGTTAGGATCGGGTCGGTTTTAGTGTTGCGGTTAGGGTTAAAGTTGGAAAGTGGGAGTAAATACTCCACTGGAATTTAGCTAAGGGTCACCAGTATCCCGACGGTTCACAGTCCCGTGTCCGACCGTGTTTTATAACTTGTTACCTGTCTTTTATGTGATAAGGCGTGTGTTTTTCTGAAAGGCCACCAACCGATGGGATAAATTGACCCCTATTAGGACTAAGAACAAGGCTGTAACGGCTCCTTTCCAGCGTGTTCCTTATACAGTAAGTGGGCTAACTCATTAAATGTCAACCGAAATTCCGCAATGCCTTTCCGCTTCGAAAAGATTAATTAAGTAGGGTTGTAAAGTTAGTCAGCCTGCAACATATTTTATAATAGGTCAGTTACCTCAGGATGCCGGCTTTCGAACGAATTTCCGTCGGGCTACATGCAAAAACTACATCCTGTAAAAAACAACTACTTATGTAGAATGCATTTTTCTCATTGATTTTCGATGCCCTTAAATGTCCTAGTATATTTCCTGGAAAACATGCATAAAATATTCATTTTCCCGCTCATTCGGTAGATACTTACGTCTTCTTCTAATTTTATACTGGAAGGGGGACATAATTCGGTTTTGAAAAAGTTTTCCAACTCCCGAAGAATTTTGAACCCGCTCTACCGTAAAACATGGAGTCAGGGTTTCCAAACTACAAGCCGTATATTTTCCGCGTGCGGAAAACCACACATCTCTGTACGATAATAAGGGGGGACCATATATGGTTCATGAAATTAAGCAGTGGATTCGGTCCATATTGTTCACTTTACAAGCCACATTGGTAGATGCAGAGGCATGACGATTTATGAACGGCCATTTCACGATATTTAAAGTCCCACAATTATAAACTTCTTTAAAACCGAATTATGTCCCTCCTTTGATTACAAATTAGAAGAGGAGGTAATTTTCTACCGAATGAGCAGAAGAATGAGTATTTTTATGTATGTTTTCCATTAAATATAATTGGACTTTTAGGGACATCGAAAATCAATGAGAAAAATCCATGCTACTTATGTAGTCAATTTTTACAGAGTCTAGTTTTTGCATGCAGCCAAAAGGAAATTCATTCGAAAGCCGGCATCCTGAAGTGACTGAAACATTATAGAATGATGTCGCAGACTAATTAGTTTTACAACCCTGCCTAATTAATCTTTAAGAAACTTAAATGCATTCCGGAATTTCGATTGACCACTAGGCCACGAGTTCGTTACCCTGTCGGTTCCGATCGATAATATACAATGGTGGAGAGGCGCTCACCGATCGTTCTTACGGAGCTCACTCGTTCCGTTGTGCCTTACGGGCTCTCTCTCTAGCCCAACCAGCAGCCGCACAGGGACGCATGATATAGGCAGTATGGCATGGTAAGGTACAGCGGTACGAGTAAATTCCATAAGATAGATCGGCGAGCGCTATTCGGTACCGACATATACGAACATACTCGAAGTTTATACCTCGGTCATGTAACTTGACTTTTTGACCATGGCAGACGACAAAAAGCTAGAAATGGCCTTTTTAGTGTCTTTCTTCTTGACTATTCACTGTTATTCGGCACAGACCTTTTCAGGAACGGTTCGAAATTTGATGTGAATATTTGAGCTGAAGTCCATCAGCTACTGCGGAATTAAGAGATCGTTTGATTTCAGGAATGGATTAGGACGAGCATGGCTGCAAATGAACAGAGTGGAACTATGCAATTATTTACCGTACTGACAACACAGGTACAAGCTAAAAGCCCAAACACGCATGTTTTGTCAATCTTGTGCCGCTGCTTGACGCAGCTGCAAGGAATCCGGCTCATCAGTGGGAACTCCAGCCTCCACCGTGTGTTTTCTGGTTTATTTAATCCAGTTTTACCTTGTCTTGTTTTAATTTCCGAGGAAGTTAATGCGCTAATATGGAGTAAATCCATCGGATCAGACCTTTTCAGGCGCGGTCCGAGGAGGTCAGGGGAAATTATGTGCTGGTGTTCTGAAATTCAAAAGCAAGCTGGTAGGGAACTTTGCATGGAGGACGCTCCTGCAAGGCAGCGCAGGTCAAGATGACAATATCTGGTGTGCCCGCCGTGGTCATACGTCACCCCAAGGCCCCCGGAGAACTGAGAAATTGGCCTGAGTAATGTTAGTCTTTAAGCTTAATATCCGAACGAACGGGGTTACACCCTCACACCCTCCCATCTGCGCAGCGGAATTGTCTCTGACAGCAGACACAATTCCGCTTCGGTCTCAACTCGTTGTGCAATTTGACCGGGAACGATACCAACCGTAGGTTCAGAAAGCTGACATGCCGTTAAAACATCCTTTGAGGGCCCTCTACAGAAATCCGTCAGAGCGGGAGAATTCTTACTGTGATTGTTTTCCCCTTCCTTCCTTCCTTCCACCCTTACCGTCTTCCCTCCTCCTCCTCCTCCTCCTCCTCCTCCTCCTCCTCCTCCTCCTCCTCCTACTCATCGTCATCGTCATCCACCATCACCTTATCCTTCTCGCTTCATGGGCTTTTTAGTCCTCCGGACGTTCTAAGCTCCGCACTTGTTCACATGAATCTTATGAACTAGCCATAGGAGAGCGCTCCTTCATCATCATCATCATCATCATCATCATCATCATCATCATCATCATCATCATCATCATCATCATCATCATCACCACCACCACCACCACCACCAACACCACCACCATCATCATCATCATCATCGCTGTCGCCGTCGTCATCATCATCATCATAATCCTCATCCCTCTCCTCATCCTGTTCCTTGCCATTATTGTCTATTCCTCTTTCGTGAGTCCTCCTGTTAGATTTTTTCCCGATTCTTCATGTCCCTTCTACAAAGTCCCGCCTCTTTTGCTCCTTTTCTCTCACACCTCCAACTCTTCCACTTCCTCTTACTCCCACACTGTTTTTCTACAAAACTCTTCCCTTTCAGGACTTCCTCATCTGCTCCTTTACTGCCTTCCTCCCCTTCTGCGCCCCTCCTTCCTGTCATCAGTATCTGCTGTCCTTTTCTCCCGCTTCTTCCTCTTCTGCGTTGACTGTTTTCGCTCTCAACGGCTCGCGACAGTTCCGTCCACCAAAGGCGGGTCCGGCGCAGCCGATTTTCTATTTCCGGCCGTCGGTGGGGGGAGGGGGGGGGCAGTAAAAGTTACACCTCTGCTGACCACCTGAGTGCACTGGGTGCACGTATTTGTGCATGCAAATGTTTTTCGGCTGGTAAACTTCGAAGTGCACACTGAAGGGGAAAAATAACCGTCTTCTGTCCGAATAGCTTCTTGCAAGTATGTGCGCTTTACCGACCTCCTGCGTAGAGACCACAGTTGCTGTGTGAGTGTATCTAAGTTCTTTTCACTTATTTCAATGGCGTTTGTTTCAAGGTTAAACCCCTGTTCAGAGAGGGTGCTGCTCCTTCAAGCAAAACTGGCAGTTTTCTTCAAGGCGCTTGACATAGGAAGCTTGGACATGTCAAAATTAAGGCGGAATGTGCGGGAGCAACTTGCGCTGATTGGTTGCTTCGGTTCAAACATCGCCTATTTCCTCGAGCATTTTGTAAACTGATAACGAACATGGGTATATAACTAAAAATATGTTAACTATGCACTTTTTAAAGAATTTCAGGACATATTGGGTTACTTAACAATTAAATCATAAAAAACTAATTGCCGAACATACGTTTGCTTCCGACAAATTCCCTTCAGGCCATTACGGGAAGGGGGTTGCGTAAAATACGTCAGTGACTAGAGCAATCGATTAAAGTTCGTAGGCGAAGTTTAGCCGATCTCCCTAACCACTGACATGGTTTATTCGACCCGTTTCCATATAAATGTACTGGCCCGACGAGCATTTGTTGAGAACCTACTGTACATGCAATAATGATTGTTTTAGCGGCGGCAGTTTGCGCCTAGCTCACACTTACCGCTAACTTCTTAACTTTTCACATTTGCTGATGTAAATGATGACTTTATTTCTCTTTATCGATATGAATAGGGAGCTCAAGGGCGAAAGCCTCATTCCCTTAATAAACTGACTTAAACTGACTTACTACTGCTAGCGTATAAAAGTTGTCTGAATAAGACGACTACGTTTTATGGGGACGTGCGTTGAATAAAATTCTTCCGGACTTTTAAGAATACAAGGAAATTTTTAGACCTTATCGATCTGTAGTAATGAAAGACAAAAATATTTCTGATGGTCTAACAGATACCACATATGTTATGTCGTAAGGTATCAACCGCATCTGGTACCAAGGTTTCTCAGCCAATTTAGACACAACTGTTTACTTCGTAGTAGTCGAATGAGTGTTAAAGCCGCAAATTGAGTGGATTTCGTAAAATAAGCATACAAAGTATCATGCTGAAAATTCTGGAATTGGAATCAAGGTGGACATCATAAGACAATGAGCATATCTACCTCGGAAGCATAGCTTTCTTATAAAGACCAAATTGTCCTTGACTCAGTTTAGAAGTTGAATAACATTGGTAGTTTGAGGATCCACCTCTTACAACACAATGTTAAATAAACCTCGTCGTCCACCCCGTTCGCAACTGTCGGCCATTTAAGAAACCAAATTGGAAAAATTAAAAAAAAAGAAATATTTCGCATGGGAAAGCGACCATTCAATTTATTGAGCAGACAGCGATTGTTTAGTCGTTCAGTAGTACGACGCCCCTGGCATTCTTGCAGTGTAACGACAGTTCAACCCTCACGAACAGGGATGTCCACCGTGTATCCCATGGCGTGGTGGACTCGGGACTGTAATACAGGACTTGCGCAGCATCTGCTGCACTATCTCCTCCCTCATCCGCGAGGATCCTGTGTGTTAAGGCGACCGGGGGGTGGACTCGGGCGTAGTGACCAGACAAGCTAAACAACCCGTCTACACGTGCCACGTCTGACCTGGCTTCCACGGTGCGTACTGGGTCTCTATAAGGACTCCTCAGATCTCCTCTGGGTAGAGTGTCATGGTGGCCGCATTAAGAAGGGGATAATGACCGTTGCTTTTTAGTTTCCTTAGAAATTAACTGCGAACTTGGAGTAGATCAGCATAATTAAGGTTTGGTCTACTGATTTAAGGTACCGATCTCCTCCAAGTCCGCAGTTAGTTTCTAAGGAAATTGAAAAGCAACAATTGGTAAAGTGGTGTATCTGCCAGAAAGCAGACAGGGAATGCTAGAGGACCCACTGATGAGCCGAACCCCTCGCAGCTGTGTCATGCGGCGACAGAATCTCGGCGAAACACGCGCGTATGGGTCCTTGGCTACTACTTGTGCTGTTAGTATGGAATCACCCTACCCTAAAGGGACTACTGTTCTCGACTCTCCGTCCTGGGAGACCCGATTCACCCAGTGGGCTGGCAACCATCGAAGCACGGCTTTTAGCGCACCGTGCTAACGTGTTCAATTGTTCACAGTAAGGAGCACGCTGAACTGCCGTGGGGATGGATTCTCCAGAGTCAGCCTCCCTCTCTCTTACCTCTTCCTCACTGCCCGGGTCGGTCAGGCA